TAAACTACAATTTTTCCTTTTTACTTTTGTTGTTTAAACGGTGAAATACTTACAATTGTCTGTTCTTAAAGAAAATGAGTGCAGTAAAATATTTTACAATTTTCTACGTGCTACAATTTCCTGAAACTTCATAGTATATTGAAGCTTAGATAATCTCCTATATTATATTAAAGCTTTCCATCATTTCAATGAACGATAAATTCTCATTTTCTCCAAATAATACCCACCACTTCTGTCACGCATGCGCGTTTTCATAGCTTCGGGTCATTTTGACCCATACGTTGCTGAACAAAGGTTAAGAAAACTGTCCGTAACGTACAAATTACAAGATATCGTATAGGCATATCTCATGAAATTGGATATTTTCGAACGTGAAATTTGCTCTCCGCGCTTGTATACAATACATTTAAAATAGAAAACGTATAATTTTGCTTCTAATTGATCAGGCGCATAAGCAACCCACAACACACACTACACTACACACCAGTTATCAATAGTACGTAATTCAGAAATGATGCGTTTGGTCCACGAATTTTAATTATTAGATGTAATCTTCAAAACAATACTTATTAGGTAGTGAGCTGCAGAGCTATACTGCTGAACTGCAGAGCTATACTGCGAGGCAGTATAGCTTTGAAGAAGGCCACAGCAAGATGGCCGAAACGTCAGTGCAATTGACCGATACGCGGCTCATCCCGGATAGCCAAGAATGCAAAGCTAGCCGTGTTTATCAGGAACGAATCCCCAATCGTCATGTGTCTTATGCGCAGACAATGTGCAACGCTTTTAACAAACTCATAGACGAGGAAAACTGTGCACGTTCCTCTGTCAGTGCAGACACGCGACTTCCTCGTCAAGCAGGTCATGCTGGAGGCTATTTCGGACGAAACTGTTGCAAGTACACGGCAAGTAGTGCGTTTTACAAGGATGCAACATCAACGCGTATGAAATATTCTAAAAAACGAAGGATATAAACCATACATTTCTCAGAGGGTGCAGCATTGGCGAGGAATAGATAAACCCTCTTGAGTGGCTCGTACGTTTAATGACAGTTTTCATGTGATGATATTGGGTTTCCACAACCTATACACGTGGGCAACTGAAAACCCACGGTCAACCAGAGAAGGCAGACATCAGCAGCAGTTTTCTATACATATTTGGGCTGGTATTGTCTTAGATCACCTTATAAGGCCAATGGATTGGATGGAAAGATGTGTGTTTCTTCAAGAAGTCCTGGTTTATTAGAATCTGTACATCTTGCCACGCGTGTGCAAAAGTAGTTCATTCATGATAGGGCAACGGGCCATTGCTCCATCTACTGAATAAACCATCTAAATAAGCAATATTACAGTGTAGGATATGTCGAGGCAAAAATTTAATAATAATATCGTTTATTCTGACAAAGGTTTTACAATATTCCGTATTCAAATCAGTTCCATTCACATTTCAAATGTTCACTACACTGTGATTGTTTATTGTGGCTTATTTGGCACTATCACAGAAGTCTAAGAATTACAGTGGGAATAGAAGAAGAACCGAAAAGAGAACACAAGATCCAATTTTTCTCGTATAGTGCAAAATAAAACCAATTTGACACACGCCTTTCTGCACTCAGGACATCGATTTAGAGTATTTGCTATCAAACGAATTGATTATTTAATGTATGACATGGCAATGATATACGCTTAAGGGTTGTATCTGCCCAGAACAGTGAAAATATGCCATTTCTTTTTTGCAAACTGTGCATTTGTTAGAGACGCTATAGTTTTCAACATTTTCATTTTGATGGTCTCTTCATTTCTGATAAAAATATTACATTCCTATCGCACGGTCCATCACAAGTGCGTGTAAATATGTCCACACTCCACATTTTTCAAGTAGCTTATCTTTTCCTCAGCATCTGTTGGTAATCTTATATTGGTTCCGTCCTCCCAACATAACGGTAATAATTAACTTTTATTTCACTGTCACATGAGTGTTGTTTATGGAAATTTAAAACTTATTTTTGACTAGAAAAATGTAAATTGAAGTTCGAAAATTTTCAAACGAATGATTACTATAAATATAAGTACTGATATATATGTAATTTTAGGTTCCGTAACGCGCCTCAGATTAATTATTAATTTTACAGAAATAGTTATGTATTTATAATTTAATTTAATAGTTATTCCCGAGGTACCGGAACGCCGTTTTGTAGGGTGTCGCCAAAAAAAACAAGCCCTTCATGTAAGTATGTGTGGAATGATACAGTGAATTTTTTGAAGATATTTCCTTCGAACTGTTTCCGAATCGACAGGAAGGACCAAGTGCTGTCAATAGTATAGCTACCTATTCAGAAGAGTTCGTCAAAGGTGTTTTTTATTAACTTGTGTTCTACAGAGCAAAAATGCTGCTGAACAAACAACAAAGTAAATGAAGTCGTAGGCTTCCGCGACCAGAGTCATGTGGGTGATCTGGCATACCAGCTCTGAGGAAGACCACGACAGGGTGGTGGAAACGTCGGCAACTCAGCCTTCGACGCGGCGTCACCCGGACAGCCCAGATCACCCAAAAACAACAAAGTAGGTAAATACGAATACTGCACAAATACGGTTGAGGTTATAAATAGCACAACAGTTCTTTACATGCCAAAAATATAAAAAGTTAACCCATTACGCAACTCGTGAACAGCAAAGATATTGAAATAACTGTAACTGGATCTTACATAATTTGATATTCCCAGAAAAGATCCACTGGTTACTCAGGTTGCAAAAATTTTACTGGTGGGAACGGGGCTTTTAGTAGACTACGATTAATAGAAATGGAAAAACACTTTACAACATATCAGTATAATATCAAAAAACAATACTACATAATAATACACCGTCCTAAATATAGAACAGGTTAACTGTAAGCACAAAAAAGAAAGAAAATCTTGTCACGGACACTGTAATGTAATTATGAGAGGATAACTCTCAAGTAGGAGAAAAACACGTGCACAATTTGGTTCAGAAAGATTTTAAATATTGTTATAATAGTTTTTAATGAATATCCGGCTTTAGTTAATAATTTCCATGTGTATTATAAAATGTAATTATTTTTACCAACCGTATTGGGAGACACATCTATCATTAATCCTGATCATATAATCTATCCCTACCGCGCAGTGCACTGTTACAATGAGCGTAAGGTAATACAATGCTAAGGTTTTCTTTCCTAATAACTATGGCCGTTTAAATAGCTATTCGTAAATCAATAGTTGTACTAGTTCTCTCTCGTTGGGAGCCTACGAGAAATCTGTATAGGTTATCTCGCTCCCTAACAATTCTCTAAACTGTTAAGCAGTAAAACTGAGAAGCTAATCGCGCCTTCCACATGATTATAGGTCGAAGAATATTTCACCTTCCCTTGTTCCTTCCGCTGTCGAAGTGTGACCTTGCCACCGGTCGGGGTCCGTTACACAGCAGTTAGTCGGCAGTTCTCCCGGGCAGCTAGTCTGCGAGTTTTACAAATGATCACGGCGGTCGAATGATTCTTATAGTGTTCTCAGGCCAGAGTAATACAGGGCTGAGACCAAAATCAACAAATTTTATGTATAAAGCATATTACTTCACCACTATATGTACCATGTTTTACCTATACTTCACCTGGTGGCATTACATGGTATAAAAGAATATTGCAGTTGTCTGCCACCAACCACACACTTTCTATCCATGCAAGCGCTGTGATTTTAATATTATGCGTAATATATTATAATTTCGCGGCTTACCTCTTTTCAGTTTTTATAACTTTTTCCAGAAGAACGTGTTCCTCGAGTCTTCTCTCGCCAATATTACGTTCCGCTTCCTTGTCTACGAGTCGCCTGTCACACTCAGAATGACGAGCGCTCTCAAAACGGGCAGAGCACGTATCGATTCATTTGTCGATCGCCCAAACGATGCCGATACGCTAGCGCTGGCGGCGTCTAGTACCGTAACTATGTGCACGTGCGCATCTGTGGGCGGTCTATTCCTTGAAGCCTTGCTCGCATGACATCAGCCGTGACGTAAGTATTGACGCTCTGATTATGACAATTGAATCGTTTGTTTCAGAAACGCGCCAAACGCCAAATTCCTCATTCAGAGAAAACTGAGAAAAAGTCTCCCAATTTATCTGATTTCAAAATATTTTTATTTATTAATGCAGCTGGTAAATGAATATTTTTCATATAAATATGCACTAAACGATGTGTCTATCCTCTGGGAACAATAATCCGCCACTAATGCGTGTATTAGATTTTGGCGTCTGACGCGTTTCTGAAATAATCTATTCAATTAAGGCGGTACGTAGGCAGAAGAACGCAATGAAATATTTGCAGTTTTTAGTCAAAATTCAAAATTTATGGTTTTGTATTTTCCCCGAGTTCCTCGGTATTTAACAACTCATGTGACGTGGTCGGAGGTGCTACGTTTTTTTCGTTTCTGCGCGCGTAGAAATAATAATTCAGACGTTTAAAGAAAAAGACCTTCCTGGTGGCCTTTTTCCTGAATAACGTAAAACATTGCGATAAGTCGGAACGATCTGTACAGTAGGAATTAACTCTTCTTTTATTTAAATACAGATTATGTTTATTAAATCTATAGTACAACAATACAAAAAATATGTTATAAACAGCAATCATTATTATAAAATCCTAACAATGCGTAATAATGGATAAAATTCGAAATAAAGGATTCCGCACAACCTGTCTTATCCAAAACAGATTTCCTTTTATAGATATACGATTGAGATTTTGCTTGCAGTATTTTAGTATTTTAGAATGCATTTCTTACATTTTTAATTTCTCGTATACTTACGAATATACGTATCAAGTTTACTTAAATTACTTTATAAATATATGTAACTTGGGAGAAATGTTCTCCAAATCAAAACAATTTAATTGGTTATATTATTTAAAATATTTATTAACAATTCAATAAAATTATAAATATGCAATGTAGTATCACTGAGAATGCGTTAGTGAACAAACATAATGCAATAACGTAGTTGGCAATTCTAAGTAAAATGTAATAATCTAAAAACTGGATAAAAAATTTAAAAAATAATTTTGCAAACATATTTTACGTAAGAAGTTCCATATTCGTTTTCTGTTTTTTATGGTGATTAAAATTTCTGTAGTTTTACAAAATTTGGAAACAATATTAATGAAATAATTTACAATAATGAAATAATGTATCGCATAGGTGTATCTTTAGTGATCCTAAATGGATTCGCGGATATAGTGTTTACATAGGTCTGCTTACCTACAAGAAGTGAGAGTAACATTCATATGACGTCTAAAAAGCAGTGTGTACATTGCTCGTCTCCCGAAAATAAAAATATCGCAACGAAAATATAAAAATCATTTTAATAATACAAATATAAATTCCAATGCATTGATGTGAAAATCATACATAAATTACATGTAAATAATATATTGATGTGGGTGTTCCTCCAAAGTGATCACGCAATAGACAAAAGCTAGTGTTTCTAGCTTTGTAAACAATTGTCGAAAAATCTATGCCCTTGAGAAATGAGTAACAGCGAGTTTTTGTATGTGAATCGTTAGATAGCGAAAGTGAAGAAGTTGTATGCCATACCGATGTGGCGTCTCAAACTGTCCGCCATATTGAATTCAAAATATCATTTTATGCTCTCCTGGATTACGAGTTCAAAGGTTTTTTTTGTCTAGTGGCAGAAAATTCTTTTTCACAGCCGATTAAAACCATACCATATCATCTCGGCGTCTTCAAGGGGCCGCCATACTGATTCAAACATGTCGAATTTGTCAGTTCTGAAGTGAAGAGTTCAGTTCTGAAGAGAATGACACATATTTATTTTTTTCTGGAAATTGCAGAGATCGGCTTCGCTACTTAAATAATATCATCGAATGTGCAGTTCTTTGATAGCGAATCGCTAATACAATAAACCCTTGTTAGCACGAACTAGCTTAACACCGAAATCCGTTGTCAAACGAATAAAATGTAGGTCTCGCTTAAGAAACGATGTATTGAGTAACATGGCTACAGTAAATATCTTGAAAATGCTTTGAAATATCTATTTGCTATTTTCGCCATGTTGTTGCAAATGATGTGTCAAATTCCATATATCATGTTCTTGTTAGTACCGAATCTAATTTTAGAGATATTGACACAACTTAGTTTTTTAAATGTAAGTATATTTTTTCTAGTATTCTAAAGTTCTTTAAAAACGAAATTAAATGATATACATATTGTTAATATTAGAAAACTTTTTTTTTGCAAAAAGAGTGCAAATAGAACTTGGTAAACGCCATGCTGCAGCGCACACAATCAGCTGACCTTGCTGACATCGTATACGTGAGTCGACTCATCTGGTCAGAAATCAATAAGTTTAGCCGATTGCGGGACTTCCTATTCTTACTAGTAACGCTAATGACCTCGGTTTTGAACTTTCACAAGTTCTACATGCAATAAAGGAGGAGTGTTCGAAATCACATTGATTTAAGTGTAGATGTGTATCTAAATACCTTTATTAGATGTAAATCTGGGAAGCGAAGTGGCTCAGAACGTAGCGCGCTGGATTCGCAATCGGGAGAATCGGGTTTGATCGCCGAGCCCATTCTGGTCGGAATTTCTTCACTCGCAAGGCGAATGCTGGGATGGCTCCAAAATCCAACGAACAACTCCCACTGCCCTACTTAACACATACAACCATCATCCTTCCAGCTCTCATCATCCTATTATAATAATAATAATAATAATAATAATAATAATAATAATAATAATAATAATAATAAACATAATCCTATCCCGCCAAACTCATATTGACGGCAAACAACCTTGTCTTAACTGTGAGATGCAGCTGAAAAACTGATCCCAATAATTCCACACATTGATCTCTATAGGATACAATACAACTGTACCTCGGAGAGAGAAAAGTGTTGCTTCGTCACTAATGACTCATACGCAAATAATACAGTATGTGTGTGTATGTATATGTATATATATAAGAAGAACTCCGATTATTTCAGTCCCTTGGAATTCGTGTTAACGAGGGTTAACTGTATTTCGTTTGGGTTTCTCGTGATATACAGCCGCGCTGCCGGCGTCG